GTGCCCGTACTCTGATGATTTATGTCAGCAATCTAGCAAAGACAACATTACGGGTAAATAGTAGACAAACATGTGACCATCGTGTCGACACGTCAATCAATACCATAAAGTAACAGAAAGGTCCACTTGGTGGATGGATAGGTCCACATATGTCCCCATGAATTCTTTGTAAAAATGATGGGGATTCTACACCAATTTTAGTGATGGATGGCTTAAGTGTCAATTTCTCTTGTGAGCAAGTAATACAAGTAATCTCATTAGGTGACAGAATCTTCAAGTTCTTTAATGGGTGCCCATGTGAGTTTTCTATGATCCTACGCATCATAATAGATCCTAGGTGACTAAGACGGTCATGCCAAATTTTAAAAAGTTTAGGATCAGTGAACTTCTGGTTCATAACTGCATAGACTTCAACATTCTTTAGGAATGTGTAATATAACCCTGATGAGAATTGAGAAAGCAGCGAGTTTCTCCAGTACATGCTTATGGCATAAAATATTAGTAGTGATGCATATAAACTCTCCATCCTTTTCACTTAAAGTTTCAATGTGGTATCCATTGAGTCGTATATCTTTGAAACTAAACAAATTTCTTCTAAATTTGCTAGAATATAAAGCATCATGGATACTTAATTTAGTTCCACTTGATAACAAGAGTGTTGCTCTTCCAGAGCCCTCAATTATGTTTATAGACCCTAATATAATATTTACTTTAGCTTCAGTAAATGTCAAATTTGAAAAATATTTTCTATCCCAAAGGATGGTGTACGTCATTACACTGTCTACTATACAAATGTATCCATCATTACTAGATATCGATGTTTCATTTTTTAAGTTCATCTTTCAATAGGAGTGCACTATTACACTTGTTAACCTCTTCGTGCTGATAATGTATTATAATCTTAATGGTATAAGTGTAATAGATTAAGGAAGACATAAATGTTAAAGTAAAGTTGAAAGGGGACTATAAAACTTCATTTCGTTTCACTTTAACTGTTGTAGTAAAAATGAAGCGGAGAGGGGGTTTTTATAGCCAACGCCCCCTCCCCTCATTCACTGTTAGGGCTGTAAACGAACCGAACAGTTCGTGAACAACTCGATGTTCGCTCGATAACTGTTCAATACTATTCACGAACAGTTTGATGTTTGCTCGATAATATGTTTGATCGAGTTCGAACATGAGTTGTTCGTTCGTTTATGTTCGAAAAACATGGTATGCATTATTATAATTTATATATATATTTTTTTCATTTTTATATTATGTTTGGTTTTGTTTGGATGAATTTTTTTTAATGGTAATCAATAATAAAATATTATGATGCTTTTGTTTTTCTTATATATATAATATGTTTGGATTTTTTTTCCTTCCAAATGTCATCAATAATTAAATATATAAGTATATAGCATTTTAATTAAAAAGTAATAAATTATTATGATACATAACATGACAAATTTAATAACATAATAGATTGTATAATCAAGTGATATATAATATAGTAAATCCAATAATATAATAGCTTCATATTTTTCCAAATGTAATCAATAATTAAATATTATAAGATAGCATTTCAATTAATAAATAATAAATATAGTATGGTAAATTGATGAATATAACATCTTGTATAATCAAGTGATGTATAACATAACAAATTTAATAATATAATAGCTTAATTAAATATAGTATGGTAAATTGATGAACATAACAATTGTATAATTAAGTGATATATAGCATGACAAATTTAATAATATAATAGTTTAATTAAATATAATATGGCAAATTTATGAACATAATATATTGAATAATCAAGTGATATATAACATGACAAAATTAATAACATAATAGCTTAATTAAACCTAAATTAATCACACGTTTGTATTGATCATATATTACAATAAACTCTCGTACCATCATGAATTTACAGGTGTTGATACAACACACACACACACACACACACACACACACATATATATATAGACAGTAATGTATGTATAAATATATAACAAATTAATCACACATATGTATTGATCATCTATTACAATAGACCTTCATTCCAATATGAATTTATGGGTATTGATAAAAAATATATATGTAAACATTTAAAATATTTATGATAATTCATTTAATGATAATAAATATATGATAACCTATAATTTTGGTAATTTCATAACTTATATATATATGATAATAATTTTGTACATACACAATTATACATTACACACACATATATAAACTCAATTTCACATTTTCCTTTACCAGGCCCAACCCAAATTTTAAAACAAAAATCCAAAGTCCAAACCCAATTCCACATTTTCCCTTACCGGCCCAAAATCCAAATTCATATTTACGAGTTAGTCGAACGATCACGAACTACTCGTTTTGTTAATCAAACGAACACGAACGGTCATCATATGTTCGTTCGAGTTCGAACACGAAATCGAATACTCCTTCATGCTTATTGAACAAGTTTCAAATGAGATTGTTCATTAGTGTTCGATGCAATCCGCCTATTCAACGCCTCAAAGTTAAGGCATGGATGGCCAATTACAACATTTTGTTTATTATTATTATTTTAAATATAAAATAGTTGATTCATTGTCCGCGAAAATCTATTATCCAAGGGGAATTACATGATCCATATGCAAATCAATAAATTAAATACTATTTATAATTTTTTCTCTCCCTATCTTTATAATTGATGTGATTGATCATTTTAAAAAATTGATGTTTTTACTATTCATTCAAATTCAAACAATTTAATATCCAAAATGTATCTATAATATTGAATAGTTTATATATTTTTTAGAGGTTAGATTGATAAAATTGTTGATTGATTTAAGGGTCGAATTGATGACAATTCCAAAATCAAGGAGTTTAAAGATCGCATTTCTAAAGCAAAGGGTGATTCACTACCAAAAATAAAAAACTGTGTATACATAGCTAGGGACACATTGATTTCTCAAATAGGTATGACCAGATTGGAAGATAGGGTGCATTTTATGTATATTACTGAATTTGAATGACTTGATTGCTATTACATATCCATAAAGAAAAAGCATCATATATTACTGAATTACCTCCCTAATTGGGAGAATTATACAAGTAAAACCAAGTTGAAGCTTTCTCATGCAACATCAATCAAAGTCACATCAATATGTACACAGGCCTCAAATTGCTTTCAGAAGAACTTGACAAGTCAACACAGAATCACACAATCGAATTCTAGTCAAAAGCACATTCCAATCTAAGTTTGTAGCAGAGTTACAATGGACTAACTGAAAATTTGCATATCTAAATAAGCTAATAACTTCACTAGTATTTGCTGAATGCTAGCTCTCACATGGACCTTCCTCATTTACAGATAAGAACATAAATTTGATTAATAAACATACGCGCATCAAGCTTCATAACAGTTGCAAGTTTCACAACTCAGAATGAAGAAAAATACTTTCAACAACTATACAGTTTACTATTTGAATGCATTCTCAGCAGGATCATGCATAAGAAAATACAAACTCATTAAATGTTTACAGATTTCCCATGCATTGGCAAGGTAAACACATGAAAACCTACCACATTGGATCAGTACAAGCAACTCTGCATAAAATTTTTTAACTTCATTAAAGGTATGTTTGCAAGTGCGTGAAAACGGTTTTCCAAAAAAGCAATCGTCAATTCTTTTAGAACTTCTAATTAGAAAAAAAAAAAGTGAAAACCTTTTGCTCTGCTGAAGATATGGCAATGGAAAAAAGAAAAGGATGAAGAATAAAGTGCCAAGATTAGGAGCTACAAATAAGCAGGCAAAAGAAAATTCCAGTACAAGCCTATTCATAAATAAGAAAAGGCACTGCCTTAAAAAACAGAAATAAGCAGTACCTTAATGAGACACAATACAAATTTCATCTGCCAATATGTTTCAGTTCCACACGATGATATCTGAGAAAAATATTGTTACATACATAATTTTACTTATAACTGACGATGTAACTTGTATCTAGCAGAAGACCGACATTAATACTCCCAAAAAGTATCAAAGGAAAATTATTCAGAACTTGAATCTCATCTCTATTTCACCTATGGTCATTTTCACCATCTCAAACAAATCTAATAAGTTGGCCAGCTTATTAAAATAGAGCACAAAAAATTTCTCATTGTGAAAGGAAAATGGGATATAGCTACCAAAAATTATCCTGTACAAATATTTAGAAATTGACTATCCTTTTTAACCAGAACCATGTAGAACAATGAAATATAAAGGAAGCTTTCAGTTTGGGTCTGAAACCATTATCACATTTTTTACAAACAATTAACTACAAGACTCATGTAGCTCATGGAACGAGAAAGAGAGAGAAAATAGAAGAAATTAAGGAGGAGCAGATTTTAGAGTTCTAAAGAGATCAGGAGGAAAGCAACCACTTAATCTCCCAATTGATTTATAATCCTGACAATTCCTACTTCTAAGATTTTCAAACCATATAATATTATTTCTGCATCAAAGACCTTTAATAAACAGAAGAAGCCTCTTCTTGCATAACCTAAAGCAACTACAGGATACATCCATATTCTATATAATAAACAAAGATTTGAAATGCAGCCCAATTACATAACAAGCATTTATTCAGGTTATTGCCTTCAATAGATTTAAAATAAAAGTTCCCAACAACGTTCTATTATCAAAACATCACTTTAACTGATCTAAACCCATATTGCACTGTACAAATGAAAGGTGATGTTTCCCGATTCTTCAATAGCTTATACTGATCATAAGTCATTCAGTAACTATTTACTTGAACAAAATATTAGAAGTTCTTACAGATACGCTATAATCAACCACAAAATTTGTATTCCGGAAACAAGGTTAGTGTTAAGCAGATATGAATTCTAACATGCATGTATATCTCCAAATGCAGCGGAAAGAACTGATATATTGAACTTCAGAAATAAACAAACAAAGAACATATACAAAGAACAACGTACACCACCCATTGATGAAAACCAGTAGCTGATAACAGAAAGACACAAAGCTTTTACATAAATCTCGATCTAAATTACAAGCTTGTAATCAAAGAATGCTACAGACACAATCAAACCACATAGCCGCTTGATTCCCCTCCCAAAAAAATTAAAAAGCAAAAATGGAACATAACAAATGTGTTAATTGCACATGTAAACCCCAGTCTCATACTTGTAAGCAACTTCATAAAAGTCTGTCTTACCTTCAGTAGCAGGCCGTAGACAAACCCCAGATAATGATAACATCCCTTCTCCAGAAAATTTTACATAACCAATAACATCAAGCTCTTCCCCACCATCTTCCTCAATAGAATCCACAGGCATTCTTACTCTCAGCCGGCCAACAGAACCCTTTACTGGAATCGCTGGTACATGCCACTTCAATTCTCTATCAGTTCTATTCAACACAGCTTTAGGCGAAACTTTCAACAATGTAGGATCAACCGGTAGTTTCAACACAAACGTTACATCATGTAATGGTGTAGGCAAGTCAGGGTTTGAAACATACTGTATCATCACAGAAAGCAAAGTCCCACTAAGTCTTTTTATCAAGCGAACTCTTAAAGGCAATGGTGTCATCCTAGGAAGTAAACTATACTTCAAAATGGGAATTGGCTCATCAGATGGAGCTGTTCTCACATGAAACATCCCATTACCTAGACTACTAACTTTACTACTCTGCATAACAAATCTCTTAACCCCACTAGTACCATCAACACGAAATGAGAACTCAGTTTCTTTATCGTCACCAGAAGTTTTCTTGGGCAATGATCTCAAATAAACCACACCCATTAACCCTGTTCTAGCAAGCAATGATTCCCTGAACTCTGCACTAATTTGCTCCACAATATACATTTCAGGACCCTTCATTTCAGTCTTTTTCACCAAAAGTTTCTCAAGTGGAGTCTCTGCAGCTCCATCAGCCTTCTTAGCCGGAGCATCAGGACCAGTTTGCAACAGTTCAAGCCCACTAAGCCCTTCCTTTTTCGCAATCTTCTTTGGTCCAATAAACTCAGAAGCATCCAATCCACCACCCCAAGCTCCAGTAAATCCTTCAAAAGTCTCCTCCATCGTAGCCTTATCATTACTAAACTCAATACCACCATACTCCCCTTCAAAACCCTCCACATTAATATGAGTCGACTGCGTAGCCTCAGCCGGCGGCAATGTAGTAACTTCTAATCCCGCTAACGCCACAGTCAAATCAGTCGACGAACCCTTATTCTTCTTAAACCCACCAACAAGTTCCTCCTCCTTATTCACCACTTCACTCGCCGCAAATGGGTCCTTCTCAACATTAGACTCCTCACTCTTCTCCAATTCCTTATCTTTTTCTTGCTCATTAGCAGTTTGCACAACAAGAGTAGCTGCCACCTCATCTCCGGCCGCAATAGTCTCAGCCGGGACTTCAAACCGAGCATTCGAAAATGAATCAACCGCCGCCAAATGCTCGAGCGAATGAATCTCAACAGAACTCCAATGATCCGCCCCACGAATCTTACTCTCCGTGTCTAATGCAGAGTGAACCATCTTCGCAATTCCGTCACCGTGCATTGAACCCAACATTGCAGCTAAACGTATACTACTAACGCCACGTAGGACAATATCTAAAGCCATATAGATTTCAGCGTACTTACGATTAAGTTTCTCGGGAGTGACATCCACGCCACGGCACGCTGTCACAATGACACTAACGGCTTGATTAACGGTGTTAATGCAGTCGAAGACATTGATTGAGTTGTCGTGATCGGCGTTGGTGATGCCGAGGACGTAGATGGAGTTGACGAGACGATACACGACGCGGTACCGAGATTCAACGCCGACGATGAGCTGGCCGCTGGAGGCGGCGAGGGGATCATCGCCGAGGGAGGCGATGGATTCGAGAGCGGCGTCGTGGTCGACAGAGGGGGAGACGGAGGGTTGGGATTGATGGGCTTGATGTGTGTGGAGGCGTTTCGTGGCGGCAAAGATTTCGCGGGTTTGACGGAAGGCGGAGAGGGCGGCGAGGGCTCGGGTCGGAGGGAACCATTCTCGGGTTTGGAGGAGGATGTCGGATCCGTTGACGGGTTGGAGAGAGAGGGCTAGACACGACATTTGGGTGAATTTGAATTGGATTGGATCTGATCGGGTTTTGAATTGATCGGATCTAGGGTTTGGGAGGTAGAGAAAATGAAATGGAAGAGAGTATTGAGTTGAATTGAAGAGCGAGTCAAGTGAGTTAGCGAGTTGGTAATTTGTTCGTTGTTGAGGTTGATGAGTTTGAAGCAGAAATGTTAAGGTGGCTTGTGCTGCAGAGGAGCAGAAATTGAAATGAGAGAGAAAGGTTGGCTTGGTGGCTGATGTGAACTGTGGACTATGGAGTGGTTATGGGCCGTGGTCGGTGTACAAGGAAGATGACGGACGTGAAAAGGGAGGGCCGATTGTAATGAATTGGGCCTTTCTGTTTATGTTATAGCCCAAACCATCTACATTTAACGAAATACTGTAGTTTATCTTCATAGTTTCAAAAATTATGGAGCGGAAGAAACTTTCACCCTCTTGGTTTTAAAAAATATTACTGAAAAAATAGTATTACCATTAAAATATATTATCTTAAAAATTAATAAAGAATGTAATATTAATATGTCTAGTTAAATTAGTGAATATAAATAATTAATATGTTTGGTTGGGAAGAATAAAATATTATCGAAAAGGTTTTTACTTAATTATTGTTCCTTTATAATATTATTATTATTATTTAGAGTATTACTTTAACTCCCTACATTTGAGAATTTAGCTAAAAAACTCCAATAATAAAAGTTTAAAATTTAACAAAATACCTCCATCCACCGCCACCAGCAATCGTCAAAATGGCACACAATCGGGTTGATCTAGCTGAAAACGGGCAAAATAAATCTGGTCGTTCCTAGCCAGATCCATGACCATCTGGTGGTTTCTAGCTTTCAATTTGGTCGAAATGGTCAAATCGGCACATGACCAATCGTGCACTATTCCGACAACTGTTGATGATGGTCAACGATTAACAGTCGTCTTAGGTTATTAGGGATATTTTGGATATTATTCATATAAATAATGAGGGTATTTATATTAAAAAAATTAATATATGAAGTTATAGAAGTCATTTTACACATTTGAGCTAATTGTTATTTAGTAGACATATGAAGATAATTATATCCAAAATGTTTATTAATTAAAAATAAAATTGGTATGAGCAATAGATTACCTGATAGTAAAAAATAACATCATTTCAAACAGTAATCAAATTACCAGGGGCGCGGATCCAGCCCACTCTCAAATGTTTTTTTTAAATATTAATATATATAATTTTTGGATTTTGGCCCATCCTAACAAAAATATTAATATGTAATTAGTTTTTATTTTGGCCAACCCTAAAAAAAATTTCTGGATCCAACACTACAAATTACCCGTCATATATTAATCACTATTGATATTAGTCGATTATCAGAACATTTATTACTTGACACTCAAACGTGTTAATTGCCTAATTAAAATTTAGATCATTGGTGTTATCTTTTATGACACCAAAACAAAGGCTACGTCTATGTCATGTTATGTGTAAATGATACACATTGCTTACTATAGTAAAGGCCGGCCAAACTAGGGGAAGGCAGCAGAGCCACTTCAAAATAAAAACCAACCCCAGTTTGATCTTATCAAAATTCTCATCTAATAGAGAGGCGGCTTATTTCAGCAATTTGAATCATTAATCATCAATGCAAAAGGGAACAGCACAAAGCGATGGTATGCTTCGCTAGCAAGTAGGTCAATGACTTGATAGCGGCAGTAAGATTCTTTGTAAGGAAAAACTGATATTAGTTTATCTTTTTACTAATTCAACAATCTTTGTACATAACAATTTGAATTCATCAACTAGTATGGATAGATCATACTGATGTGCCCAGATTCTGTTTTCATAAGTTCACCTCAAATTTAACTTTTGAAATCATTCTATATTTCTATTTACTTTGTTTTCATCCTTGAGACTAGTGACATTTTCTCTTCAGTTTCAGTCCTAAATCCCTTTTAAATTCTTCAGAAAACAGGACAAATTGCTTCCGAAATGTAATTTGACACTTCGATTTCAGTTTACATTTAAAGCCAATTTTAATCAAACCGAAAGCAAATTTCAGTTAACAAGTTTAGCTCCTTCAGTTCAACAATAATATTCCCCTTCCTCTTCCCAGACATTTTCTCAGCATCCAAACGCACTCCCAATTCCAATTTTAACCTTTCACCAACCAATTAGATCAACAAACCGAACCAATCATCCAAGCATAAACTCATAAACTAAACACAAAAAAAAATAAATAAATAAATAAATAATAGTCAATTACCATAAAAATCTTCATTAATTGATGAAATTTCATTACAAAATCCATTAAAACGCCAACAAACCAAACCCTAACCCTAACCACCGAAACCATATAGAGTCCGGCCCTGACGTTTCAAAGCATAAACGACGTCCATGGCGGTGACGGTCTTCCGGCGAGCGTGCTCGGTATAGGTCACGGCGTCTCTAATCACGTTCTCCAAAAAGATCTTGAGAACACCGCGAGTTTCTTCATAGATCAAACCGCTGATACGCTTGACGCCGCCACGCCTCGCCAGACGCCGAATCGCCGGCTTCGTGATCCCCTGAATGTTATCTCTGAGAACCTTACGGTGACGTTTGGCTCCTCCCTTTCCCAATCCCTTGCCTCCCTTTCCCCTTCCTGACATTTTTGCGTTTTCTTCTGTTTTCCTTTTCTCTTACTCTCTGTTTAGATGTTTGATTGTTGCGTTTAGTGAGAGATGAGACGGGGTTTATATGGAAAGAGATGAGGCTTGGTGGCCGTTGGATTAGAAAGTGATCCGCGTGAAGGGTACTTTTTGAGATGCGAACCGTTGGATTGTGAGATCTTGAATGTGATTGGTGGAAATGAATTAGTGTTGGATCGTGTTATGGAAATTGAGACTGGGCGGGTGATTTTGGTGGGAATGGTGCGTGGGAAAAAGCACTTGTTATTTGCCGCGTTTGGTTGGATTGAAAATTGAAAATTGAAAATTGAAAATTGAAAATTGAAAATTGAAAATTGAAAATTGAAAATTGAAATTGAAATTGAAATTTTGCCTTAATATAACCATTGACAGAAGCACCTTGTCTTTTAAAATTAATATTAATTTATGATTATCATATAACATTGTGATTATATAACTTGAAATGTGTATCTTTAGTACAATGTTATTAAATAAAAAATATGATGTATAACCGCACTTAATTAAAAACATTGTATGATAGTTAGGCGTTATATTAGCTGTGGATAAAGATGAACCAGATTTGAATAAGTGGGATGACACAATTTTTTAAAAAATAACATAAAGAATGTTTAATTAGGTTTGTTTATAAATCTAAACTCAATTTGGATTTTGATTTTTTTTTTTTTTATGAGTTTGAAGTAGATGGACTAACCTAATTCTGCATATCACTACCTTACATTTTACTCTAGTTGATGAGGACATAACCAAGCAGCCTGATGTCGTAAAACCGATACAAGATCCTCTTCACATACTGATGGGCCAGATTATGAGGAGTCGAGTTAAAAAAATGCAACGTGTCTTGTCAAGCGTAATTGAAGAACTTGAAGCCAAGGAAGCAATTTTTAAAGTCGAGTGTGTCTTAGAGAGATCCAAAAAGATTATTAACAAGATTAAAGTCCAAGTCCAAGTTTGAGGAATTAAAGACTGATTCTTGTTAGCCCTAATTGGGTCCACAAGTTGGCGTTCAAGCCTTTGTTCATGGGGCTTAATAATTGTTATTTTATGTGGGTTTTTTGTTATTTTAAGACTTATTTTCGTGTAATTGGTTGCAGCTATTTATTTACTAAAGCCCAAGTATTTTATTATTTTTATTATTTGGATTTGGGTTAATTACTAGGGTTAAGACCTCTTACTGGGCTGTTAGCCTTATTTTGGGCTAATTAGTTAGTTATATATAATTGTATGATGTTTTGGCCGCAAACTTTTTGGGAAGGAATAATTAAATATTTCCTTTTTTTTTTAAGATTGCATCTTGATCTTTAGAACTCATCAAGAATCACCAATTCTCGTGGCGTTCTTCCATTAAACTTATCAATCTAAATCAAGATTGTGGCATTTCAAATTATCTATACTAAGGTTATGATGATAGATTCGTTTCAGGTAGCGGTTCTTCGAATTCTGATTGTTCCTAGATCTTTACGTTCTTGATTGGCCGGTTTCTTTGCAAATTGAAGGAGATCGCATCAATTGGTATCAGAGCCAGGTTCAAATCAGAATCTCTGTTATTATTTTTTTTTTCTTTTGTTTCTTTTCAAGTCTTTGTTCTTGTTTCATCGTATTCAAATTGTCTTAGTTGAGTCTTGCTGAATATCTTGAATAAACTGATCATCATACTATTGAATTTGGTGTGATTTCTTGGTTATTTGAACATCTTGGGGGCTCTCTTGATCAATATGTGCACCAAATTAGGGTTTCGATTAAGTTTAGCTCAAGTCATTAGGGTTCTTTGAATTTAATCTCATGTTTCGTAATATGCTTTTGTGTTGAATCCATGTTATTTAGTTTGGGTCTTGATTTGTAATTGATTGAATCTTGTTAGCATCTTTTCTTGATTGCAAATTAAATTCAATACAAATCAGATTTGATTTAACAAAAGTCGGCCAAGTTAAAAAAAAATAAAAATTGCAACATATATCAGATCTGAATATACTGTTCACGTTCAGATCTTGATTAGATATATAAAAAAATAAAAAGAAGAAAGAAAGAAAAGTTGCGGCCAAATCTTGTTAATCTTGAATCTTGGTCTGATTTGTTACAATCTAATCTTTTACAATTGTCCTTCCAAAGATTCGATCTTGATTGAAGTTTTGTTCGTTTCATATTCTTGGTGTTGATTTTTTTTTTTTATTGTCGTGAACACTCTAAATTTTGGGTGTTCTATTGTCTTCGTGATTGATTCGGATCTGTCCTTTTGCATTCTCGGTAGGTGATTTTGAGCGACACATCTGAAAATTTAATAATTCTTGTCTTTCGTTGTAAAAAAATAAAATAAAATAAAATTTCAGATCATGAGATTCAAAAGAGCATTCTAAATGCGAGTGTAAGTGGCTTGAATAATTGAGTGTAAACACGTGAGGGAGTGTTTATAAGGAATTTTCTAACATTTTCTACAGGTACACCTTCATGAAAAATCTTGAAAAGGACATTGCGAAAGAATCAGAGAAATCCAACGTTTTCACAATGAAAGCTATGCAGTAACAATTAGAACGTATGATGAATCTTATGAGTAGTTTTGAGAGTAGGGTAGAAAGAATGAAAGAAGGGGAAAAGAAAAATAAGAAGAATGCACCATCCACGTGAGCTCATGATAGGATAGTAATTGATAGTGAGAATAAGCGCAATGACGATGAGATGACCATAATAAGTGCGGATAGGCAGGTTAGAAAGAACGATGGGAAATACTTTAGGGGAGGTAGGAACTCGGTTTGGGAAGATAGAAACTTGGGTAGTATTAAGATGAAGATTCCACCTTTTCAAGGTAGGAACGATTTGGAGGCTTATTTGGAGTGGGAGAGAAAGGTAGAACAAGTCTTTGATATCCATAGTTACTAGGAAGAGAAGAAAGTGAAATTAGCGATTGTAGAGTTTACTGATTACGCCAGCGTATGGTGGGACCAATTAGTTAGGAATAGGCATAGAAACATGGGAAGATATGAAGAGTGTGATGAGGTAGTGATTTATTCCGAGCCATTACTATAACAATTTGTTCCAAAGGTTACAAGGGCTTAGGCAAGGGAATAAGAGCGTAGAGGATTATTATAAAGAGATGGAGATGGCTATGATTAGGGCAAATATAAAGGAGGATAGAGAAGCCACTATGGCTAGGTTCTTGAATGGGTTAAATCGAGAGATAGCTAATGTGGTAGAGTTGCAACACTATGTTGAGTTAGAAGACATGGTTCTTATGGCCATGAAAGTTGAGCGATAGTTGCAATGTGAGGGTCGAGAGACTTAGGATCTTATAGTAATACTTTTAGGTCGAGTGGGTCTAAGCGAGATGAGGGAACCTTCTACAAGCCCAAAATTGAGAGCCCTCAGCATGGTTGTTAATATCCTACGATACACAATATGAATCCTATGATACGATTCGATACGGGTCACCAACGATATGTATCGGAGGGTGTATCGCAAACCTTTTGATACGTTGATATGTATTTTATGATAAAATACGTATTGGTCCGTATCCTTAAAAATATCGATACGGCTTTTTTAATTTGGGCCGAAGGCCTAAAAAATTTTTTGGGTCAGGTTGAAAATAGATCGGGTCAGATCTAGGTTACCCGACCCGATTCACTGAAACCCACTTAAAATTACCCCATCCCCAATTTTACCCTAGCTAAGATTCACTCATGGTGAAGAGAGCAGTTGCACGCACCTTAGCCTCTCGGTCCCCACTTCTCAGTAGTCAGCAATTAAGCTAAAAGTCACCAAGTTCAACACAATTTGTTCAGGTATACTACTTTTTTTCTCTTTTCATTTCATATTTGAATTGTAATATAATATTATAAAAACCTTGATTTGTTTGTTTGCTCATTAAGAATATAAAAAGTTGATTCATCTTTGTTGATTCTTGATACAAGTGGAGACAATTAAATAATATAGAGCAATTGCATGCACCATAGCCTCTCGGTCCCCACTCTCAGTAGTTAGTAATTTATTAAACCAATTAAGCTAAAAGCCACCCAAGTTCTACACGATTTGTTCAGGTGTACTACTTTTTTTCTCTTTTCATTTCATATTTGATCTGTAATATAATATTACAAAAACCTTGATTTGTTTATTTGCTCATTAAGAATATAAAAAAATGATTCATCTTTGTTGATTGTTGAATAAAACTGAAGACAATTAAATAATATAATATTAGAATACTAAGAAATTCTTAGTTGCATTGTTCTATGGATAACAATTTTACAAACCTCTTGTATATGAGTTTCGATTTGTTTTCCTTATGTTATGCTTCTTCATTTGGTATTTTGCAGCCTCTTTTGGTCTATTAGATTAAGACTAAGATTTCAATCATGAGAAATAAGAAGGGAAAATTAGATGATATTACATGGGAGCATTGTAAAAAAGTGAATGAGGAAAATAGATTGCATCTTACATGTAACTATTGTGGTATACCATATTGGGGTGGTGTAATACGAATGAAAAATCATCTTGCTGGAGCCCATATCCAGTTAAGCCATGTAGTCAAGTTCCCGAAGATGTTAAAATGAAATTTCAAGAGTTGTTGGTAGCAAAGAAAGTTAATAAGGATGATGATGATGATGATATGGTTGACATTTTTAAACAGTAAGATGTTAATCCCAATACGGGTAAAATTGATAGTTTTCTTAGTAAGGGGAAAAAAGGAAGTGGTTCTAACTCTAAGCAAAGAACTTTAAATGAAGTTGTGAAGGATAGGGAAAAGGTAATTCAAGGTATATGTAGGTGTCTTTATGGCAATGCATTACCATTTAATTTAGTTAAAAGTCCTCTTTTTGTTGACATGTTAAAATTAGTGGGAGATTATGGAAGCGGATTGAAACCTCCTACTTATCATGAAGCAAGAGTTTCTTATTTGAAGAGAGAGGTTGATCTTGTGGAAGAAAAACTTGGAAAGTATAAAAAATGAGTGGAAAAAGAATGGTTGCACATTAATGTCAGATGGGTGGACGGATGGAAAGGGTAGATCACTGACTAACTTTCTTGTCAATAGTCCAAGTGGGACAGTTT